TGTGGGCTGCTGGCCTTGAGCAGCGCCTGCCCGTGCTGCTGCCCTCGCCTCACCCCCGCTGCGCCTCATCGCGACTTCAATCGACCATTGTCTTGGTGCGGAGCCCTTGCGAGCGCTGGGGAGTCACGTAGGCCATGTGCTGCCCGCTTAAACCCCGGCTCCTTGCTTAATGCTGTAAACCCGCTTAAAGTTGGGGAAAGTGGCGTCTCGTTAGCTCCTAACAATCTCTATTTCAGCCTGCTTCTGACCAAATTTGAGGCTGTAAAGCGTTCCTGGCTGCGAACAGCTCGTGAGTGCCAGCGCTTCCATTTCCTCAGCAGTACGTACGAGGGCTCCCTTTGGTTACGGGGACCAGACGGGGCTGCTTAGGGCCTGCTGGCTTCCCACAAAGGGGTTTTTTATGTCCCTGTGATATCCCGCCAAGTGTTGAGCGCTGGAAAAGCCTAAATTTGGGAAGCTGAGGTGGGGAGAGGTAGATGTGTTTCGGGCTCTCATTTGGGTAACGTTTTGGGATAGGGCCAGTGGAGCTCGCCAGGCCTCTGGGGAACAGCCCTCCCCTCTGCCAGAGGCTTGAGGTGGGAGCCCCCCCAGGTCTTTGTGCCTGTCCTGCCTGCTCTGGGTGTCTCGGTGCCGTGTTAACTGGCTGAAGGCTGGTCCAGCTGACTGAGGCAGGAGGGAGACCCAAATGGCGGCCAAGGGGAGGCCTAATGGCGGCCGAGGTGTGTGTGAGAGGAGGCAGAGGTGTGTGGTGCCTGGGCATGACCTGCATGGGCAGCAGATGTCTCTCTTCCCCTGGCACAGAGAAGGAGCATTGTGAGGAGACTTGCATAAAGGGTTTACCTTGGAAATATTCTGCGGCATTTGCAGTGCTTTTATAGATGTAAGCCTCTGTCTGTCCGCTTTGGAGCCCTGCCAGCCTAGGGCTTCTGAACACACAGCAATTCGCCACAGTATGTCACTAAAAGTCTTGAAATCTTCCTATTCCAGGCCCCTCTGGAGAAGGGAAGCAGTGCTGGTGCGGAGGATCTGGGAGATGGAAAGGATTTTGGTCTTCTGTGGGATCTGTTTTGGGATGACCCAGTCCTCGCTGCCTAAAAGCCTCAATTCCTGCTCTGACCATGGATGTGCAGAGGAGGGTTGCTGTAGGCTACCCATTCCTGTGGATTAGTCAAGACATTTATGGGGAGCAGATGTGATACTTGCAGTCATTACTTGGTCTCGTCACTCTTAATTACTGCAAATATGGTTATTTTATTTCCTAATAGGGCAGACTATAGCTGGCTGCCTGGCAGCTGTGAATTTGACTTCCAAACACGTCTTACACGTTGCAGCTCTTCCAAAACAGAGCTGTAAATGTCATAACTATGGTCTGGGTGGGTTTTTTTATTCTCCTTTTTGCAAAGGGGAGGAGGGAAGCTTTCCAACTGAATTGGCTGCCTTACATCTGCCTTTTTTTGTTTTTCCTCTCTCGCTTGAAACTCCTTCTGTGTGAGGGCAAGGAGGAAATCAGTGAGAAGCCTTGATGCGGTTGAAGGAAGAGCTTTCTAAAACTGGTCTGTCTTATTAAAGATTTTCAATGAGTCAGGGAAAAATGTTGTGGCATGCAGAACTCATCATGTAAACCCTCTGGCGTCAGGCTTTGGGAATCTTGCTTCATGGTCTCAAACCTTGGCTTAGTTCAAGGTTTTCCCTTGTGTCTCAGCAATGCAAGAGAGGTCATGTCTAACCCACTAAGGAGTCTTTTATTTTGTAGAGAGATGCCACCTGAGGACCCGCAGGAGGAGGAATGCAGGGAAAGAACAAGTAGATGAACCAAGCCGCAGTAATTTTGGTGCAATTGAGCTCCTTGGGAGTGGTGGAAGAATTAAAATTAACCCTGGGCAAAATTAAACCTGGGCATGTGACTCGGGAGCAAAAGGGAAAAATCCCCAACACCTCGTCAGCACCCCTCAGCTCTTGATTCGGAGGGTTTTTATTGGCAGTACTTTCAGTTAGTGCTATCAAGTAGCTTGTATTCCTTGCTGGTGGGTTTTTGTTGCCGACACCTGGTAGTTTCATCTCTTAATGATTTCAGAAGTCAGTGCATTTAGATGGTGCTTTAAAATTCACTGGAAGCTCAGTATTACTCTAAGCAAGAGGTGGTTGCGGACTCCAGTGCGCAGCCCACGGGGGAAGTGGTGTTGAGCAGAACTCGGGGTTCACAGCCCGCTTTTCAGCAAGAGCCTGGGAGGTGGGTGGGCTGCTCCCCATAGTGAGAGCCCAGAGGTAGGTGGTGAGCCTTGGTGGAGCCTGGCACTCTTCTCCCTGGATGCTGGTGCCATGCCGGTGTCTGCAGGTAAGTGCTGGCTCCGGGGTCTGCCTGCAGCTGGACCTGGATGGCGTGGGTTTAGCTCAGCCTGATCCCTGGAAGCCTGAGAGGAAATCGGCTCCTCTGGCTCATGGGCATAGTTCAGCCGTGGACGTGCCCGGAGCAGCGTCTTGTAAATGATTCCTTTGTTGGAGTCAGATCTGCTGGGGTGATGGTCATGTGTCGCACTGGCCGGGATGCAGGAAAATCGGTGTCTGGGTCAGGCTAAACCAGACTTAGCAGCTTACAGAAACCAGCCTCGTGTGCTTTGCTTCATCTTGCCCGCTGTGGGTCTGAGGCTTGAGTGTGTCTGGGTGTCGGGTGGCTCTGGAAACCCGGTGCTGTATCAGGTAACTGCTGCCCGTGTGTCCGGTGCCAGGTAGCAACAGGGGCTCCGTGTGACTTTAGGCCGCTGGCTTCAGCTGGGGTACCTGGACCCCAGCCTTGGATGTGCACTGGAGTGGCACGGAGCAAGTGAGAACAAGGCAGGTTCAAGTACTGTGTGATGTACTGAGGGCATGAAGGGACGTGCCAGGTAAATGCTGGCATGTCAGCAGCAGCCCGTGTGTCCGGTGCCAGGTAGGAACAGGGGCTCCGTGTGACTTTAGGCCGCTGGCTTCAGCTGGGGTACCTGGACCCCAGCCTTGGATGTGCACTGGAGTGGCACGGAGCAAGTGAGAACAAGGCAGGTTCAAGTACTGTGTGATGTACTGAGGGCATGAAGGGACGTGCCAGGTAAATGCTGGCATGTCAGCAGCAGTCGACGGAGATGGTAATCGCTGTGAACCTGAACGATGTGTGCTATAAATAGGAGGCTGTGCCTCCTTGAGCCAGCACGCTGCTTTGAAGTTGTTGCTGTGTGTGGTGTGACCTGGAGGAGCTCTGGAGAAAGCTTTCCTCCTTCAAGGTGGCTTTTTCAAGTGGGAACCAGGACAGCAGGGCAGAGAACTGCAGAGCTTCAGGTGGCCTCTGGCAAAGGAGGCTGATGTCCTCCCCCTGGCTGATGGTGGTTAATGGCGACAGTGGGGCTTCTGGCTGTGAAGCCAAGGAGGGTCATGGGACATCAGAAAGTGTCTTCCAAAATCTGTGGGGGAATGTGATTTCTGGGGACTGTAGTGATTCCTGGTGCTTTGCATACTGTAAACCAGGCTCGTGAGCAGCCGCTCTGGTTGTGTTTCCTCCCTTGGGCGGCTTGTGCTGCTCTCTGCTGCCTGAAGCAGCCGGATTCTTCAGAGCAGTCACAGTTCCAGGGTGCAATCCAGCCATGCAGCATGGGGAGTGAGTGCATCAGAACCCTGGCCCTGCAGGTCTCTGAACTGCTCCAAATCATCCTTTACCTGCTCAGGAAGATTCTATTCTTCATCAAGCCTGGATGACATTTCCCCTTTTATTTTGTTTTCTAATCCCTTCTGGTTTTGAGCTTTTAAGGTGAATTGTCTTGACACTGGGGTGCTTTTGTGAAACCCAGCATAACTTTTTTGGTAGGGGAGGACAGTTTGGCTGTAGCTGGGTCAGGGGGTTCTGGGCTTTGCTGGGGCTGCTCTGATTGGACCAATTTCCCCTCCCTGGGCAGCACTGGCAGCACATGGGAGCCTTCCCTGGGCACTGCTCAGGCTAAGTTTAGCCACAGCCCATGACCTTCAGTGTTAGAGGGTACGTTCTTGCAGAAGTGGAAGTGTCCTGGCTCATGCTTGTGGATTTATTTCCCTTGGCTTTTAATAACCCAGGTGTGCTGCTCCTGTTCTGGGTGGCCTGGGGCTTCCTGAGATTTTTGCAGTGTTTTAGGGTGTGCTGGGATCACACTCCTGGAGATGCTGCAAGGGCTCTGTTCTGGGCAGCAGAACCCCAATGAGTCTGGCTGTTGCCCTGCTCGACCCTCTGCACGTCCAGCCGCTGGTAGCCCTTCCTGCTTCACTGCTGTGCTCTGGCTGCTGCTGGCAAGGACATTCCCTGCCGTTTTTGGCTTAGGACAGAGTGTCATGTCTTAAATTTGTTGCTTATAAATACCTGCTAGCCAGGGCTCTTAAAGGCCACCTGCAATCTGAGCATGTGTTTTGGGTTGGTCTTACAAGTCTGGTGTGCTGGTGAGCCCCCAGTGCTCACCTATCAGATCAACTCTCCAGGAGGTGGTCCCGGGCACTGGTGCTGTGCCAACCTTGTGAGCAGGGATCAAGCCTTGCTGTTGGATGCCAGGGTGTGGGATGCAGCCATGTACTTTTGACTGAGGCAATACTTTGTCCTTTGCAGATCTTTGAACTCCAGCTGAGTCACTGCCAGCTTGGTTCAAGATGCCACCGGCTACCGGAGGCCCTGTGGGATACACCCCTCCTGAAGGAGGATGGGGATGGGCTGTGGTTGTTGGGGCCTTCATCTCCATTGGGTTTTCTTATGCCTTCCCCAAATCCATCACTGTGTTCTTCAAAGAGATTGAGGTCATCTTCAACGCGTCCAGCAGCAAAGTCTCATGGATCTCCTCCATCATGCTGGCGGTTATGTATGCAGGAGGTAAGTGCACTCAAGGCAGTAGTACATGTTCTCATGTGTTGTAGTACAGGATGATGTGGTTCTCCTGCTGGGTCTGGTTTGCACCTTGCTATAGTGACAACAACAGAACTTTGCTAGAAGCTGGAGTTCTCCTTATGTGAGACCAAAACTTCCCTTAGCAAGTTTGTCTAAAGAAGGTTGCTCAAAAAGTTCCATTTAATGCCCAGAATTCAAAAACCAGGTTAATCTGTCCTCTGCAAAGCTGTAAGTAAAATATTTCCGGGGAATTACAACTTGTGTAATTCTGCCCTTGTCCTTGTTACAGTGTGCTGCAGACACTGTCTGCTTCCAGTGCCTGCTCAAAGGCCAGGGGAGCTGCTGTGCCACGTGCAGGAGCCCTGCTCACAGAGTCTCTTTTAGATAAGACGTTGATTTTCTATTTATTTCTTTGTTTGAATTCAGCAAACGGCTATATGTAGGGATCTGTCCCCAGTTTCTGGTCAGCTCTGATGGCTCAGCTGTGCTCTGGAGTGCACTGAAACCTCATGCTCCCTTTTCTTTCTTGCCTCCCAGCAGCACCATAGGCAGCTTGTGCTGTTAGAAGGTGGCAGCATGCACTGGAAGTACAGAGACATGACCAGAATAAAGCAAAACTACTTAAACTGAGGCAGCTTCCCTCCCCCATCCTTCAGAAGCTACTTCTTGGAGCTTTTTAATCCCCAGGCTGTGCTTTATCCTTGTCTTTAACCAGCGAGGAGCGGGTGATGTGCTCCTGGCCCTGGCCTTGCTGGTCTCAAACCCGCCAGCAAACACAGCTTTGCACCAGGTTGCTCAGCTGAAAGAAATCCGAAATAGGAGCTGACTTGTGTCCACTTCAGAGGCACATTGGAGCTTGTCCCGCTGCCATCCGTGGCTGGCAAGCAGCCCGCGCCCTCCCTGCGTTTGTGCATCCAAAGTAGCTGACGTCAGCGCCCGGCCAGGCACGAGGCTTTTCCTCTGGGGGAACAGGCTCTGCTTTGTCCTCGCTCAGCTGGCGAAGCGACCAGCACATTTCCCTGCTCTGATGTTATAACAAGCTTGTAAACCTTGTAACTGCCTTAATGAGACTCAATCTGGGCCGTTCCTCCTCTCCTAATAGCTCGGAGCTGGTTCCCTGGGGTGGCACTGCCTGGAGTTGCCTGGCAGATGGGGTGAGAGCTCCTTCCTTCAGCCCCTTGTCCCTCTTCTTCCATGCTAACACTGCCCTGCTCCCACTGAAATCACAGAATCACAGAATGATTTGGGTTGGAAGGGACCTTAAAGCTCATCGTTCCAACCCTTTGCCACGGGCAGGGACAGCTTCCACTAGACCAGAGTGCTCCAAGCCCCGTCCAGCCTGGGTTGAATGTTTAATGTTGTCATTAAATCCCAGCAGCTAGCCTGTCTTGAACTTGCTTGCCTATCAGCTGGTGGCAGGGATGCTGAAGGTATCGCTGACCTGCCCATGTGCATCTCCCAGCTCCTGGAGCATGAGAACATTCTGTTTCCCCACTCAGTCATTCCAGAGCTCCTGCAGCTATTCACCCAGAGCCTTGTAGGGTCTGAATTGCACTGGAGCAGTCCCTGTATGCATCCCATTCTCCCCATCCCCCAGGGCACCTTCCTGTGGGAGCTGTGTGCTTGCTTGGAAGCAAAAAATGTAGCTCATGCTCTGGCAGAATGTTGTGAGCTGATGGTATCTTGCAGTGCTGGGGTAGCTCCTGTCCTGGGCAGGGCTGGGGGTGGCAGAGCAGCATGTCCTGCAGCCCCACGCAGTCGCTGTCAGGGTACAGGAATGTGATTGTCTTCAATACACTTTCCTCATCTCCACATTAGGATTAGGGAGGACTCTGGTTCTGTTACTTAATACTTTTTTATTTTTTGTATTCACAGCATGAATAATCAAGGCAGATCTGCTAACATTTGCTCAGAAAAGCTTCATGTGACTCTGTAATAGAGGAGTGGGTGGGAATTATTTTTTTCTTTCAATTAAAAAAGGGGGTTCTGGGGGAATCACCACCAGAGCACACGTTGCTGTCCTCAGCAGCTTCCTGCTCCCTGCCCTTGGAGCTGCTGCTCTGGCCTGGATTTCCAGGAGGAAAGGCCACTGCTGCCTTTAGACTCTGTCCAGGGGATCACGTTTGCTGAGTTCAAGGTCCAGATTTTGCAAAGAGCTGAGTGCTCTGTGAGGCTTGGGGTGATGTGGCAGCCCCCCCGGGTGCTGCTGCCTCGCATGGGACCGTGGCCCCTTCCCTACTGCTGGTGCCATCAGGTTGGTGTCGCTGTCACAGGCTGCTCTGGCTGGCATGTAGGCACTGTGCTGGCTGTGGGCTTCTGTAACCTTCTCCAGACTTTGTTTAAACTGGGCAAAAAGGTCAAGTAGCATCTGAGGACCCATGAATAACATGTTGACAACCTTGCTATCTGTTAATGGCAAAACTAGGTCTGTTAATATTCGATGGATGTTCATTCAGTTTATTTAAATATGTTTTAGTATCTGTAGAGCAAGCTTCGCAGTATCTAATCACTGTTTGCTTTGGATTAAAGCTCCTGATAATGAAGCACTTAAAAGGTGGGTGTGCAGAGCAATTGGGTTTTCCTGCCTTAGGGGTAGCAGTGAAAACAGAAGCACCCCTTCTCCCTGGGACTCTCTGGGATGGCTGCTCCTCTGTGAGCCCTTGTGGAGCTCTGCCTGTACGCATCAGAGCTGTTTCCTCACAGCTTCCGTTTTGATCAGAAACCTCTCTCTGGAGATGGGCAGTTGCTGTGCACTTGCTCTGCTGCCGAGACTCCAGCCTGTGGTGGGCAAGTGGCCATGGGCAGGGCAGCTGGTGCCCAGGCAGCTGCTGGTTTAGCTCTGAGCACCTTGCTCAGAGAAGTCTCAGCTTTCTGTGCACTAACCAGATGTCACTCTTATTATCAACAGCTGCCTCTGAACCTCCTGTCCCTTCCCCTTACCCCAGTTCCCTCACTGGGTGAAGCATGACTGTGCGAAAGTTACTGCCACAGGCTTCTAGTGTCCTTGTGTGCATGTCTTACGTGAAGGTAGCTCATCCCTTAGCATATCTCCTTCACTCCCCAGGTCCCATCAGTAGCATCCTGGTGAACAAGTACGGCAGTCGGCCTGTTGTGATCATAGGTGGCCTCCTTGCTGGGAGCGGGTTGATTTCAGCCTCCTTCTGCAACACGGTGGAGGAGCTCTACTTCTGCATTGGGGTTGTAGGAGGTAAGTGATGGCTGTGCCATAACGGGGCTGCAGTGGAGGTAAGTTCTCCTCTGAGGCAGCAAGAGGAGCAGTTTAAACCCAGTGATTTATTAAGGACTATCTGTGATGAAATGGCATAAATCCTGATTCCTGTTACATATTCTAATGAGGGATGGCCCTGGTGATGTAACATGGGGAGACTGTGCTGGTGACTGTACGTGGGACTGCTATTTGGTACAGACAGTAGAGAGCATCTGTTGTTACTGCCCCAGGTTAGGGTTGTGCCATGCCAGTTGACTTAAGGTTTGTCTTGAGCCAGGGTGGTTGTGGCTTCCTGATTGTGTGGTTTTGCTGCTGCCCTGGTGTCTCTCCCCAGTTCAGCAGCAGGGGCAAGTGCTGCTCATGCAGTTGGGATGTTAATACAGCCAAAAGGGAGCTGTGGAACCCTCAGAACCAAAACCCTGCTTGTTTTGCACCAGCCCTTCTTTCTGCTGGTGCTGCTGGCTTATGGGGATGATCAGGCTCCAAGCCTCTTGTTTCTCCTCTCCTTTCAGGCCTTGGACTTGCATTTAACTTGAACCCAGCCTTAACCATGATCGGCAAGTACTTCTATAAGAGGCGTCCCCTGGCCAATGGGCTGGCGATGGCGGGCAGCCCCGTGTTCCTCTCCACCCTGGCGCCCTTGAACCAGCTCTTCTTTGGCATCTTTGGCTGGCGTGGCAGCTTCCTCGTCCTCGGAGGTCTCTTGCTGAACTGTTGTGTTGCTGGATCCCTGATGCGGCCCATCGGCCCAAAGCCAGACCAGCTGAAGAAGGAGGTCGCTAAGGAGGCGCTGCAGGAGGCTGGGAAGGCTGGTGACACCAGCACAGACCTCATCGGTGGGAAGAGCAAGGAAGAGAAGAGCTCATTTTTCCAGACGATCAACAAGTTCTTGGACCTGACCCTGTTCAAGCACAGGGGCTTCCTGCTCTATCTCTCGGGCAACGTGGTCATGTTCTTCGGGCTGTTTGCTCCCTTGGTCTTCCTCAGCAATTATGCAAAGAGCAAAAAGATTAGTAACGAGTCTGCAGCTTTCCTGCTCTCCATCCTGGCCTTTGTAGACATGGTGGCCAGACCTTCCATGGGACTAGTGGCAAACACCAAGTGGATCAGACCCAGAATCCAGTATTTCTTTGCCATCGCTGTGATTTACAATGGGGTTTGTCACCTCTTGGCCCCCATGTCCACCAGCTATGCTGGCTTCTGTATTTATGCTGGCTTCTTTGGCTTTGCCTTCGGCTGGCTGAGCTCAGTCCTGTTTGAGACCCTGATGGACCTGGTGGGAGCGCAGCGGTTCTCCAGCGCCGTCGGCTTGGTGACCATTGTGGAGTGCTGCCCCGTGCTTCTGGGACCCCCTATGCTAGGTAGGGTGTGGTGTGCCTGTCCTGCCTGGCCTTGCTGCATGGTGGTGGGTCTTCTCGAGCCATGGGCAGCCCTCACCACTGGGGCAGGGATGATGGGGGTGAGCACCGGCTCTGGGGTCATCGCAGCATCTGAGGGATAGCTGAGGAAGTAGGGGCTGAGCCTCTGGCACAGGGTGGGGGAGCAGGTGCCTTAACTGTGAGGGTGCTGAGGCACTGGCACAGGGTGCCCAGAGAAGCTGTGGCTGCCCCATCCCTGGCAGTGTTCAAGGCCAGGTTGGACACAGGGGCTTGGAGCAACCTGCTCTAGTGGAAGGTGTGCCTGCCCGTGGCAGGGGGTTGGAACTGGATGAGCTTTAAGGTCCCTTCCAAAACACTCTATGCATAGAGGCCTGAAGCTGAGGGTGATGGGCTTGGGCTGCTCTTGGGAACATCTCCAGAACCTGGAGCGGTTCTGGGGGTATCTCGCTAAGGTGTCCCCTCTCTGTCCCTCAGGGAAGCTCAATGACATGTACGGTGACTACAAGTACACGTACTGGGCCTGCGGGGTCATCCTCGTCATCTCTGGGATCTACCTTTTCGTTGGGATGGGCATCAACTACCGCCTGGTGGCAAAGGAACAGAAGGCGGAGAAGGCGAAGCACGAAGGGAAGGAGGAGGAGACCAACGTCGACGAAGCTGGGAAGCAGAAAGAGGCAAACAACGATGTGGCTCCCTCGTCTCAGAAGAGTGGGGAGGATGGTGTCAAAGAGGAGGAGAGCCACATGTGAGGGACAGGTCTCAATCCCAGAGTGTCGGGGAAGTGCTGCTGCCCTGGCGCAGTGGCTGGGGCACTGCTCCGTTGGCGCTGGGCAGCCGTGAGAAGTGTTTAAACCAGGAGTTCATTTTTTTTAACTAGGCTGAGTTCTTTTTCCATCTGTGTTCAACAAAGATTCAACAGGGCTACACTTACGCAGTATCCTTGTTTGGGGGGGGAAGAAAGGGAGGGCTTTTTATAGTTCGGCTTTTTAACAGTAAGATGAATGTACTAATATGTGCCTTATAGTCTTCATTTCTAGCTGAATCTGGAGGAGCCTTAACTGTAAACTGTGCTTTAACTCTGTATTCTGTTTGGGGTGGGGGGGTGGGTGTTGGTGTGTTTGGAGTTTTGTTAAAAAGCCATAAAAAAGCAGGATACTGGATTTGTTGAAGCACGATGGGCTTCAGGGCCAGCCCCCGATGAATACTGCTTCACACGCTTCTTACCGCAGGCCCTCTGCGGAGGGGAGACTGGGCATGGGGCAGGGCGGTCTGATCTCCTGTGCCTGGTGCCTCTTGGTTCTGTAGGTGGTCTTTAGGTATGTTTTGAAAACGTGTTAGCTACTGTAGTTCTTTAAAATCCCTCTTGTTGTGGCTGTTCTCTCATGGGATATTCGGGTTGGAGAAAGTTGGTTGCGGTTCATGTTGGGCAGTGGTGCCTGCTCCGGGGCTGTGGCAGCCCCTGTAATCTAGACCCTGCCCCTAAGCCCTCTGGGGAGGGTTGGGGGTCCCCCCTGTCCCCCGGCTCTGCCCCGATGGTGACTTTTCTCAGCCTGATGCTGGGTGATGGGAACATGGTGGTGCCAGCCTTGGTCCTGCTTGCAGGGCTGTGCTGCCCTGTCCCTCCATGGGGTGGGTTTCCACCACAGCATCCCTGTGATCAGTTCCACCCAGATGGGTGTCCTGGTGCCTGACCATGGGCAGAGCAGAGGGGCTGGGTGAGGTCGGTGGAGATGGTACATCCCTGAGACAGGCTGCCTGCTTTTGCTCTTTTATCTCTTTAGAGAAACCTCTTTTACTTGCTTCTGTTCAACTGAGATCTTAAGGCAGTGGATGCCCTACCACTCACATCTAGGACACGTAGTGGGGAGGAAAGAATTTGTATGTATTTATTTTTTATTTTTTAGTGTTGGAAAATATCTCATTGTACGTGGAGCAGGTTAATGGCTCTCAAGTTCTAGCAAATGTTGATCAGAAACCATATAAGAGGCTGAGTTTTTTCAAATAAACTTGTTTTTTTACAATTTACTTATCAAGTGTTAAACTTCTTTCCGAAGATCATACTTCTACATGCAAAGGACATGTGTTTAGGGTTGGCATTGAGAGGAGCTGTACTCTGACCCAGCCTCTGCTCTGCTGGTACCAAACCTCCTGCTACCACTGGAACTGACACAGGCATTGCCATACTGGTGCAGCATGCCAATCCCTCTTATAAAGGGGAGAAACCCCCCCATTAGAATTATTTCCTGCTGCTTGGACTGGGTTAGCTGGGAACATGTCAGTAGTAAATCCTCAGTTATTTTCTAAGGGTGGTCTCCATGCCCTGTGCTGCTTGGAGCTGGGTGCCACCCTGGCTCCAGGACCTCTTGTAGAACTGCTCCTCGGATCCACTGCGGTGCAAGTGCAGGTGAAAGAGAAAGGGGTGTGCATGGGTTCAGAAAGAAAACTTTTGCCCTGCATTAGGCCATAAAGTGACTCAGTCTAAAGCTGTCTAATTGCCCTGCTTGCAGGGGCAGAGCTGGGCCCTCACACTGCTGTGGTGGGGTTGGTGCTGCTTGCTCTGGACTCTGCCCTGCAGCACCTCTCCTCCCACGGCAGAGTGGCAGGGCACGGGCTGCCTTGCCCTGTTCCTCTCATGACTCAGCTCCCAGAAGCAGGGCTGTATTTAGTCACCTTATTTCTGCAAGCAAAGGTATCTGTGGCACTGGGAAGTAACAAGAGTGGTGCCTTGTTGTTACCTACTTGTAAAGCTTTTGCTGTGGTGGGAGAGAAGGGGTAGAGGCTCAAATCAGCCCTTGGTGCCTTGATCTGCAAGATCCTGTGTCCCAGCAGCACCCTATGGACAGAATGCAGGGGACTGGGGCTGATGATGGAGAGCTGGAGCAGCTCTACTCTGGAGCCAGGCTGAGAGAGCTGGGCTGGGTCAGCCTGGAGAAGAGAAGGCTCCTTAAGGGGAGACCTTGGAGCAGCTCCAGTGCCTAAAGGGGCTACAAGAAACCTGGAGAGAGGGGCTTTGGACAAGGGATGGAGGGACAGGCCAAGGGGAATGGCTTTAACCTGCCAGAGGGGAGATTGAGATGAGCTCTGAGGCAGAAGCTCTTCCCTGTGAGGGTGCTGAGGCGCTGTGATTCCATGGCTGCTTGCCCAGAGTAGGCTGGGAACTGCTGGGACAATACTACTGCAAAAGGCCACAGAAAGCCTATGGGAGTGTGTTCCCCCACTTCCCAGGCCAAGAGGTCCTGGTGGCAGCAGTGCAGGCATTGCTGGGCATCCCCTGCTGATTGCAGCGCTGCGAATCCAGCCCCGAGTTTTGCACAGATTTCCTCTCCGTGTTCCACCTTCCTTCCTCCTGGGGGGTAGCAAAATAAAATTCTCCTCATAGCGGGTGGAAATGAGGAAATACTTGGGAGCTAATTCCCCTGCAGTTTGTTTTCCCAAACATCTGAGCCTGCTGGCCAGAAATGCTCGGCAGCAGCCGGGAGGGCTCCCGGAGGAGCAGACGCTCACTCCTGCTGCCA